CGGGATTTCTTTTCTTTAGTATTTCAGCGACTGGCCATGATGGTATCTGGAAGCTGTATGGAAGAGAAAACAGCCCTTCCACTGAAAGGAGCTGGTGGGCAAACAAGATGTACGTATGAATGCAGCCATCAGAACCAGTCCAGTTCTAAATGAAATCACCTGATACGGAACACACATATGAGGGAAGCAACCATTGGAAAGGTTCTGAGACTCTGTTCACAAAAATCCCAACTGCAAAGGCAAGTTTATTCCCTGTCCAAGTTGTATAATGCTATGATTCAGTCAGCAGTGTTATTGTGATGTCTGGCAAAAGAAATTTAATTGGAAAATGCTAGGCCTTCTTCATTTTTATTATTTTGTTTTGTATCTCTAAACGCTTCCATGTGAGCAACTTCACTCATCTTTAAAGAATGCATATCAGAAAAAAAAGATGTTTATTGGAACATTTAGCTAGTATGGATTGTATTAGAAATGGTCAATGTGAAAAATCTCCTTCCTCTAAAACTTTTCTAGGATTCTGCTGAAGGAAATATATCGTACATAAAACAAAACGGGGTTTTCTGTCCCACCTTGCGTTGAAAACATCTCTTCTGCATGTCTCATGAGCTACTGGTGAAAGCAGTCAGGACTGAGGGGTTTAAACCTCACGATACGCTGAGTGCTTACACCTCTGACTTCGGCCGTAGCTTCCTTGCTTTGGTTTTGCGGGCTCTGCGTCACCCCTCCCTCAGGGGCGGACGTACCCATAGGACAGCCGCGGCTGCCCGTGTGATGGGTGGAGTTGCTTTATTTTCCTGCTTGTTCTGCTTTTTATGAAACGAACCTCTCGCTGGAATTAACCTTTTTGACAAGCCTGTTTTGTGGAGCTCGCCCCTTGTTTCCAGGCTGCCGAGGGCCTCCCCAGCGGAGGCCGGGCCAAGGCGGGTGGCCGAAGAACGCCACCTCCCTCAAGGACACAGCGCAGGGCCTGAGGCAGAGCAGCGCTTCCCTGCCGCACGGAACAGCTGCCAAAGCGGGCGGGCGGCCGCCCGGGGCCAGCCGTCCCCATCACCTTTTCCGTTCTCTGTCACCCTTTCCACTACCCGCCCTCGTCTGGTGCTCTCCCGGCCCTCCCTCGCAGCGAAGCCGCCGCTGGGAAGGGCGGAAGGAGCTACGGCTGCAGCGGGTCCTCCTCCTCCTGCCACTGCGACCGCCCCCCGCCACGCCTCGCAACGCTACCGGGGTCTGAGGGTGGAGGCGGCTCCAGCGGCTCCCAGGGACCCTTGGTAGGACTCCAGGTAGGAATCCCGGGGAGAGGCGGGACAGGGCGGGGAGAGGGGCGAACGGCGAGCGGTATCCTATGCCTGGGCCGTTGTCCCCGGGGTGCCGGGGAACTTGTGTCCGCCTGGACGGGGCGGCGGGACCCGTGGAGCCCTCAGGGTGACGGATATCGGCCCGGGGCGAGAGCTGCCCGGGGGCTGGTTATAGGGGCAGGTCGGGACCTGCTGCGGCTCCTCAGTTCCTAGAAAGCTGTTCTTCTTAGGCAAGTGAGGTGGTTTCAGAAGAGAGTACGTGTTTTGCTCCTGTAGTTGCAGTTCCATTCTTTGCCTGTATCCGTAGTTTATCTTGAACTTTAATTTTGATGTGCATGGTAATGAGGAATAAGCCTAAGACGGTAGTCTTGTCATAGCCATTACACAGTGTTTGTTTTTTTTTTTACCAAATATCCCTTTCTGCAAACTGCGTGTAGTGTACTTTTTACTTTTTCTTATGCTATGTCTACTTAAAAGTGTCTGAAAACCAAAACTTGAAACTCTTGTTATACCTTAGCCATTCATATGACAGAAAATAACATAAACATCGCAGTATTCAGAACAGCAGATTTTCTCCCTGTCCACATCCTGTTTCTGGAGAGACTCGGCAGTGGGGAGAATTTTCTCTGGCTATTTTTTCCTTGTTTATCAGATTAACAGTAGTTCCTGGTAGCCTTTTCCTGGTAAGGAGGAACAGCTGAGGGAGTGGCAGAGGTGTGCAAAGCAACTCAACTAAAAATGGGGACAGATGCATTGAGGCAGAAAGACCTGAGGTGGAGGAGTGGAGAGAAAACAGACTGATGAGTAAAAAAGTGCTGGCGCAGTGTGTTTTGATGAAGGAGCTGAGTAGTGGGGTTTGATGTGTCTGAAAGCCTTGCTGCTGTAGGAGCTGGGGGATTCATTCCCTGACAGCCCCCCAGCAGACACTGTGTTCTGCAGTCAGTTCTTTCCTGGAGTACACATGGTAATATCAGAAACGGTACAAAACCGGTGTGAGTGGATGGCTGATGTAAAGTCTGAGCACATGAATGCTTTCCCCACAGCTTGGCTGTTTCTATAATTTCCTGGGTTTTGAGCTGCTGTAAGAGTCACGCGGAGCGCTCTCCTCCCACTGATGCAGCAGATAACATGCAGTGGGCATTGCTTCCAGACCTCTGGCCTGGTCCCCGCTGTATTGCTGCTAAATTTTTTCTTCCTGAAAGTGCCTGTGTGGCTAGTCTTGTGAATTCTTCCCGTCCACCCCCAAAGTACCATATGTAGTACAGTGTAACATAGCTAATAAAGATTCAGCAAAATTTTAAAGGGCCTAACGAATTTATGTCTACATCAGCAAGAATATTTATGTACCTTTCTTTTGCCTGAGCTCAGTATGAGGTTAGGAGCCAAAACATACCTGTGAAACTGGACGTCAATTTCTGGGGTAATCATGGCACTCGTTCATATGCTATGTCACTTCTTTAGCTTGTTCTCTATAGTCACAAGAAGTTTTGAACCATCAGACTGAAAATTCTGTGAAATGTCAAAAGTCACTGAGAGATATAATGAAGCACAGTGGAATGGAGATACTTCATGGAGATATTTATGTAGTCAATAGAGTATACTAAGGAAAAAAACGTTGTAGAGACTGTAGTGTTAGCTAACAACTTAAAATCCATCATCTGATCTACTACAAAAAGTCCAGCCAAAAAGTCTGTCTAGTTTGAAGGTTACAGGGGATGCTGTTTCCTAGACCTCTAGCAAGTTTCAGAAGATGGACCATCTAGAGGGTCTGATAAATAACATTGCATTAATCAGAGCTGATAGAGCTGATCTTAGTTCTTTGATAAGGATCCAAGGGTAAAGGAAGGAAGCTATAGTTAAAACAGTTGTTGTAATCAAAAAGAGCAGGTGCTTTAATGGTGGCTACAGAATTTGTAGCCACCATGGTGGTACCATCATGGTATTTGAACAAATCAAAAGTTTCATTTGTTTTTAGCCAAGGCTCTGTGTAATCGTCCGTAGACTTTTCTGTCAGCTTCAAACGGAAGTTAGAAGCTTCCCTTGAATTAAGTGTACAACTGAGTGACAGCACTAATGTAATTTCTCATGTTGGCTGTATGTAGTGACTTTTGTTTTGGGTTGTTTTTGAAGAAGGTAGCAAAAGCCTTAAAAAATAAATAAAAGGCTGCATGTTTATGCATCTGTGAGCAACTTTCAGCCATTTGAAACTTGTCATGCACTGAAGTGAGGTGATCCCTTTGCTTCTGCTGTTGGCAGTTGATCTGACAGCAGGTGTGTTTGATGTAAATGCTGAATATCCTTCAGGCAGCTTTCCGAAAGTGGCAGACAAGTAAGCCAGAGAGCAGGCGGAAGTATATAGTGTGTACTTTTCTTGTTGTTCCATGTTCCAGATTTTATCAGAGCTTACTAGTAAATCTTGGTTAAGAGGTTAGATCCTGTCTGCAGCAAGCCTGGAGTCAGTTACAGGTCAGACTAGGGACTTGCACAACCTCACACAGTCCTGCTACCTGACTTTCTCAGATATTACTTCTTTTTTTTTTTTTTCCCTTATATGTTGCCTGTTTGAGAGAGAAGATACTGTTTGGTAATAGGGAAGGTTAAAAGTACCTCTTTTTTTTTATATATATATATATTTTTAACTACAAAGCATGGTGTGTTTTTTGGTTTTGGGTTTGTTTTTTTTTTTGCCGGGGGGGGTTGAGGCCATTGGGAAAGTGTCACTAATAGGTTGCACTGTTCTAGCTTTAGCTCAGCTGTTGTCTTGGGGAAGCACTGGACTTCACAGTTTCCTTCCTTCTTTGGAGCTATTAGTTGGCATTCATTTCATCATTAGGAGAGGTGGGCCTCTGATTCAGGCTTTTGAATCCCAGCTTCTGTCAGGGTTTAGAACTGTCAACTGAATTATGCCGTATTAAAGATCCACATGAGTTTTAAATCTTCACAAGGCCTCTGTGCTAAACTTTACTGTAGCTGTTCAGTCAATGTGCACGTGAAACGATACTCACTGTAAATTTATGCATCTCATTCACGTTCCCAAAGACATCTGGCTTGGGTAAAAAAGCATGTTAGATTTCTAACTTTGGTCTAGCAAGTTACTCTAAATTAAGTGCTTAAGTTGCCTAAAGCAGACAATGTGAATATCTGTTTTATTGTTGCTAGAGAGAGCAATGCCAAGTTTGGAAAATTGCCCTCATTATATAAACGCTGCACCTATCTATAGTCCAAATAACTGGTTACTGGCTGCACTTGACAATGTTTTGAAAATACTCAGTTTTCCATTAGTTAAGAGAATAAATGTATCTCACAAATGTTAGGATTTAAGAGGGGAAATCCACTTATTTTTTAGTAATAAGCTTTAACAACTAAAGCTTGCTGATCCCGTGCATGAACTGGATTTGTACACCATAGTCTTGGTTTCTCTTAACTTTGTTTATGGTGGTTGTGAAATATCTGGTTTTCTAGTTTACTACACTAAATTGATCCGTCCTTTTATAAGTCAGTTCCTGGAAAGAATTAATCCATCAGCTGCGAATCAGTATTTCTGTATAGACAGGGATGAATGAAGTGTGTCCACTTGCTCACTGATGAGTAATAATCTTTTAGCATTGCTGGACAGCGGTGTGTGTAAGCCCTTCATTGTGTAGAAAGCATGAAAGCTGTCAACTTTAAGAGAAAGTATTTACACACTTGTATTTACCTCTTTGTCAGCTGGGGAGGCCCAAGGCTGTCAGCCTGGTGCAGAGCACAGAGGTTTTGTGAGCAACATAAGGTAAGTCCAAAGAGTTTTTTACCTAGGGTCCTGTGCAGGTCCTGTAAGAGTGCCTTTGTGCAGTTCTCACTTGAACAGCTTGGTGTTATTCACCTTTTTCTGCAGCCCAAGCAATGTAAATGTAGGAAGTACTGGCACAGGGCCTAATGGAAAACTTTCATTATCCTTTTGCTCCTCCATAGATCTGGGGAATGCTGGAGCTCTCCACTTTTGTAGCGGGGCCACTGCGTGGGTCTGCACTTCAGGCTTGGGCATAGCAGCTAATTAAAAATTGATGGCATGAAATGAACAATTGGGTATTTTTCTAGTAACTGTTTTAGAGTACTGAATGTTACGCTATTGCTTTAGTTCTGTAGGATTTCCCAGAGTGTACTTTGTGAAATGGGGTAATTGGTATTTACCTATTCTGACTTCACTGATGATATAAAAGTTTGTTCTTACATGGTAGAACTGAAAATAGATGACTATAAATACCTGAGCCATTAGTCAGTTGAGAACATGATTCAGACTATTTATAGGATGACTGTTTTTTTGCAGCAAATAATTTTGTATGTCAAGTTATAAGTAGAAAAACATTCTATTATTTCTTCAAATATAAACCTATTCCAGTATTATTTCTTGCTTGTTGTGTTGTTAGGAAACTGTCCTTATCTGTGTTTTCATTTATGTTTTGACTGTCTGTATTGTAAATATTCCAAAGAGAACACTGCAAGAGTGTGCTACAACAGGAAACATTTGAGTCGAAGCAGAGCAGGAATCCAAAGTGAAGTTAACCTTCTGGAATTAACTCATGTTTTTGCTGCATGTGTATCTTCAGAGTCCATGTAACTCAATAAAGTTCACTGGGATTTGTTGCTTGTGGTATATATATAGGACCTATTATGTAAACCCAAAAAGGTCTATGATATTCCTAAAAAAGTTAGAGATGCTGAATGAAACTGTATGCCTGGGGAATAAATGTTTAGCTACGCAAGCAGGATCTTAACAATGATGAAGTGCTGCCACTGAGTGGTAACACTGTACTGCCTTTTTCCCTCTCCCCTGCTGTCTGCTTGGTTTGGACCACTAACGCAAAGGTCAAAACCAAGCCCAGAAATATACTTCCTTCTGTTCAGCCGTTTGCCATCTCTATGGTTCAGTGCTGGTGAATGGTGTTACATTGCCATCTCCATCAGACCAAGGTCCAGCAACTACAATATGAGGTTGGTCTGCTTTCCCTTTCAAATTTTGACCCTCTGTGAAGGATGTGGGTCTTGAGTTGTTGAGGACAATACGCTTGAGCTGGCATGGATGTGTCTCCTGAAGGAGACAAGGAGACTGGTTATTGGAGTTTTTGATGCCTATTTGCTCCTCTGGCATGGCAGATGCTGGTTATTATTACTAGGTATTTAAGGAATTCTGTCATGAAGTGGCTTAGTTGCCTGTTACATCGGAATTGTCCTTTGTAGGCTTCTGAGCTCTTAGTTGAATGAGGTGTAATTTTTGTTTTGCTTTCTTACTAGCCAATGAAAGGTATTAGTTGTAGGTCAGAGTGAGTCATCTGGTAAATTCCGTGTGGACTAAATAATCTCGGAGGAGGAAGGGAAACCCAGTCTACTAAATTACTTTTTTTGTAGTCAGACGAAGGCAAGGCAGGGAGTCACATACATAAAAAACTCAATGGAAAACCAAATTGCAGGGCTTTTTGTCTGTCAGGATGGAAAATATTACATCTGGTGCAGGAGAGAACAACTTCTATGCTGCAGTGCGTAAGTCAAAGGTAAATCTTGCTCAGGCTGGTACAGTATCGGTTAGCTAGCATGATGCTGACTGTGGCTTGCCCTTGTCTTGTAAAAGCACAGTGGTGGATGACTCAGCTCACCTCTGATAAAAATCCACAGCATATTGTAAGGTGACAAATTCTCTTCTGCTGGTTTCACAATCAGGGGTCAGTCTTGGAGCAGGTTCTGTAGTTTATAGCTTTAGGCATCCTTTTGTAGTACATCCTGGTAATTAACCTGGAGGGAGGAGTAGAGGCCAAAGGTTGACTTTACTCAGTGTTCCCTAGGAAACAGGCATAATTAAACAGATTATTTTGAACAAATTTAGGTCATGGTCTTTTCATCCTTTTTTTTTACCCTCAAATTATTGGACCTTGACATAGCTGGAGCCTGAACAACAGCCACTAAAAAAATTCCAGGGGTGGGTATGAATATAGCTGCTGAGCTTATTTCTTTTGCACCTTGAATCAGAATTTTTCCGTCAGTTTTAAGATTTTATTCTTTACTTTTGCCATGTTAGTGTAATGTGTATTTTTATCTCCAGTTGTCATATTCTGCTGTGCTGTGACTAAGAGGAGCTTATTTTAAGATTCCTATTGAAAGTATATTGTGTATTTAATCTCTTATGAACAGGTCTGTTCTCTCTTAGCTGCCAAAGCAACAGGAAAATGCTGCCTGAGCAGTTCACGGCTTGCAATATAAATTGAGATAGCAGTGTCCATTACAGGAGTAAAAACCTCAGATCTTTATTTAGAGTTTTGAGGTGGACCTCCAGGGTGGGAATGGGGAGAGGACTTTAACAGTCTTTGTTCTGTATTTCCTTCAGGGCACTCCCTCTTTCTGTGTGTGGTTTGGTGATTTGGATTTTTTTTTTTTTTTCTCTTATGTGCAACTTTTTTTCATGGCTGAGCGAACACAGATCTTGCTGTTCCTGTATCCTTCCACACAGTATTTATATAGCAGGGTGGACTTGTGCATATTCTGTTCCTGGCCTGTGTTACCACTTTGCTGTCAGCAAGCAAGTGCTGCTCATCACCAACAATTTTAGTAAAATGCTATGAATGTAGCAGAAGAAATTTGGGAAGATGGGTTTAGAAGATAAAATAGAGACAAGGTTATGGGGATGGTTGGGAAGTTTAACTTAGAGGAGTAAATATTTGCAAAGTTAGAGAAGTGTCCAACAGAGCCTTGATGAGGTAGAGAAGAGGTACTGATGAGGAAAGTTTTTGAATATAAGAAGTCAGTGTGGTTTTGGATCAAACCGGTGTGGGAAAATTTCCCCTTGGAAAAGTCCTGGATAAGTGTAGCATTTGAAAGAAGCAAGTGGAATAATTTTATGTACATATAGTAACATTTTTTCAGATTGCCAGTGAAGTTAGCCATTATTTCTCAACTTCAGCTTTAATTGCCAAAAGGCTCTTTCACTTTTTTCCTTTCCCAGTTTGAAAGGAACGTTCTACATAGGATTAAAAGCAAACATACCAACCCTGCTAAGAAAAATGCCTATTCCATTGCTCCCCACTCTCTACCACAAGAAAAAACAAACAAACAAAAACAAAACCCCATGCCTTTCTGCCTTAAATTTGTACACAGAGCTTATTGAAAAGGCATCTTATCATTTTTGGGGCAGTATCCTGTCATTATTGTATTTACACAAGCTAAAAAGAAACAATTATGGTTGCATATGATAAAAAAATAATAATTTAAATGCTGTAATAATTTGTTGACGTTATCCATATTAAGAATGTGGGTTTTCTTGTTTGTTTTTGAATATCTTGAGTAATAATCTTTTTTATTCTTTATTTTAGTACCATGGCTGTGTTTATTGCATAAATCAAATTACCAGTGTAGTGAGGCTCTGAAGTGCCCAGCTGCCTTCTCTGGCTTTTGATTGACTTTTTGTTTTGGTGATAATGGAGTTGTTTAGTGTTTGGTTTTGGTGATTTTTTTTTTTTAATTTTTTTTTTTTTTCCTGGGCTCTCTCACTTCTGTGCGCATGTATATTCCCAGAGGCAGTGGGGGAGCGGAGCTGGCAGCATGGGCATTGCAGGCATCAGGCTGAGCCTCTTCTCTGCTGTGTGCCTATGACATCCCAACATGTGGCTGGGGCCTGGTGGCTCCCTCCTGCAGTCAAGCATGCAAACTGTTAAGAGCATGAAGCACCAGGAGGGTGGAAGCGGCCTTCTCTTTTTCTGTCAGAGGGGGAGAATATGTGTTTTGCTTTCAGCTCTAACCAGAAATGTTGGTTTTGATTTTTGGCCTCTAAAGCTTGGAGTCTTAATGGTCCTTGGGTGGGTAACAGCAGGCATTGCCTCCAGCAATTATGATTCCTTTGGGATAGCAATATCTTGCATGTGCTGTTTGTATGTGTTTTACAACCTGAGTTTGTATCTATTTTAATAAAATGTTTAGCTTTACCATGCTCATGATTGAGTTGCAGTGAAGTGCAGTATCTTTTCGAAGATGTTCAGGCTGGGACATTGTCTCTCTTAGAGCGTTGAAGAAGATCCGAGGTAGCTGCTACTGTACCTTCATGCTATCGATGTTAGTGAATATTCAAAAGTAAAAATTCATTGTTTTGCTCAACAGTGGATGGCAGGGATGAACCAGTGAAGACTGTTCCCCAAGATTTAGCTTTAGCATTATAAAGTGGACACGCATAGGAACCAAATCGTACTGTAGGATATGCATCAGGGAATAACGCACCTGGAAAAATAAGTTTGCTCTCACTGGTGTGTGCTGTGTATGCTGTTTGCCCTCCCTTATGTATATTGCACAAGTAATTGTATGCTGGGTTTGGTGCTATAGGTTTTAGCACTGTGTTTGCATTTGAAAAATGCCCCAGAGCTTAGTCATGTAGAGAGGTGCTTGTATAATCAAAAGCTTGTCTCTTCATCTATAGCAGCTGATCTGATGCTACTTCTTGCAGCAGACTCTTCTCTCTCAAGTGGAAGAGTGATAGTTTTGTAGGTAGTGGTGTTATTTTGAACTTTTGAGAATCCACTCTGGAACATTTAGGTTTTTCTTAACGTGGCCCTGTGTAGAGGTGGTAAAAACAGCCTTGATATTTAAGTTACTCTAAAACTCCTAGACTGCAGTGAAAGATCTCATTGAAAACTGAGTCTGAAGAGAATGTGGGAAAAACATTTACTGTGTTGTGGAGAGCATCTTCTAACCATCTATTACAATATAAAAATTTCTGTGAGCTAGATATAACCTGGTTATGAACGGTGTCATGTGAGCTAAACTGTAGTCTGTTCTTTCACTTGACTATGCAGAGTTGGGCCAAGATGGTTTTGAGTGGCTTTGAATTCCCAGGACCTTTTTTGAGGTTTAAAGGTGGCTCTTTATGATAGACAGTTTACTGATTTAATGCCCGATTCTGTAAAATGTCAGCAAGTTTCCCAGCTGTGTGTCCTGCTTGGCCTCACATGCGGAGGTGGGTGAATTGTTAAATCTGTTACACCCATCAGAAAAGGGGGTAATGGTTATACCTGTGCCTGACCCCACCTTGCACTTCTGTTTGTATGAACAAATGGCATAAATGGAAGGGTGGTGCTTGAATTTGCATGCCCAGAAATAATTATTTTTCCTGTTAAAAGCATCCTTTATTTACTGATAAAGAAGTTTTTATGCTGAGAAACTGCTCATTTATGTTAGACGCTCTAAATACTGGAGTAGAGGTAAGGTAGGGGTTTTAGTTATAGTCTGCTCTGTTCATTGTGGTTTTTGTTCATTCATTTCTCTCTCTTTAAATCTAAATGAGTACATGCAGCATGTACTCCAAAGAGTTTTTAAATAAATGGAAGATTTTCCTTTAAGAAAAAGAAAAAAAAATATTTTCCAATTCATCTGTTGCTATGCAAAGGAGCCGTGCAAACCAGAAAGGGAAGTTTAGTATGATATTGCAAAATGATAACAGTCCCACGAAAACAGCATCCCCCACAACCCAAAACAAACCCAAAACAAAACTTCACAGCTGAAATCCAAAACACAGAAAAATGAGCCAAGTGCATAAGGTAGTGCTTTAGGGGAAAGAAAGGAAAGGGATACTCTTTGCACAGCAGTTTAAAAATAGACTGAGAATTGTCACTAAAGATAGCTTTGAAAAAATTAAGACTGATTGTCCTTCATCTGGAACAATCTCCCTTTAGTTACTTTTACCATTCTTCCTGATAATTATTAGGTTTTAAAATGAGGTTTAATGCATTCTGAAAATGAAGTTTTGTTTTGTCCTTCTTGTAGCTTTCCTTTTTGACCTTTGCTTCTGTTTTGGAACTAATGACTTTGTGCACTTCTGTGCTGACAAAGGCACTATCCACCAATTTGTTCTGGTCCTTTCAGTAAGCCTTTCCGTAAACCTTTATGGCAATGCTGTAAGCGTGAGGTGTAGCCCTTCTCCTTACTCTGACCTTGCACTTTTGCAGACATTTGCATGTAAGTGCCTTCTAACAGTTCTCATAAAGTTACTCAATTGAAGATGTGGCTTGTTTGTCAGATGATGTTCTATTCTTGATTAAGAAGACTGTTCTGTATAGGTTATAAACTTCTGGAGACTATAATAGCATGATGAAGTAAGCATTTTCAAGTAATACATTCTTAACAACATAATAGACTGAATAATAAGTAGTCAGTGAAACAAATAAAAAAAATAGTCTGAGGAGTGACTCTATAACTACTGAGACACCTGAATGTGTTTATTGGTCCAGCAGAAGGTAATAGGAGGAGATTTCCCAGGGAAAAGCCTGTGCCACTTGGGCAAAGTATGTATGCATTTTGGGAACTGGCTACTGCAAACATGTTGCCTGTTAATTTTGTGTGGTGTAATTAGGGAGACATTACAGAAGGTAACTGTATCACACATAACTTTTCAGATCTTTGCGATGAGTTACTTTGGCTATCCCCCAGTGGGTGGACATCCATCAGCAGCCCCAGGTAAGTTGTTTAGATGAAGTAAACGTTAAACAGCTGTGGTGGTCCTATCTGGAGTGGAAGGATGGCATGGATGAAGAAGGAGACTGTGGAAGCTTTTCATGAGTTACGAAAACTTTCTGTGCTCTCTTGTTAAATCCTATTTTATCTTGGGTGGGGATTCTGGTTTATATGATATGGGTGGTCTACCATGTGCTCATATGAAGTCCATTTTCATTTGTCTCAAATGAAGCACACAGCACTAGGGCATGGTCATAATTTGGCCAAAATCAATAAATGTCAGTCTTGTCAGTACTGATTCTTGAAGATGGCTGGTGAGAAAAATGAGTCTGGAAAGAAATAGGTCACATACTTTAAGAGCATATTCAACAAAAAAAGTAGGGCTTTAATTATGACATTATTCTTAATACACTGTTCTTAGGCAGATGGCTGTATATGGAAGGGAGAGGACTGGTGAAAAGTGTATCAATTATAATAATATAAAGCTGATGCCTGGTATCAGGGTGAACTTCACAGTTGTCAGTAATGAACTTCACAGTTGTTGGTATTGTTGGCAGAAAGAAAGGCCTGGAGTCATGTGGGTGTGGTGAAATGTGGAGTTAGGCAAGTGAACTGAGGAAATGGTAGCAGTGTACCGTGAGAAGCCAGACTAGCCTGGGAGGATAAATCCAGTTTCTCTGCAGGATTTATCCTCCCAGAACATCCCTCTGAATGTTCTGGCTTAGTTAGACTGCTGTGCAGAGAAGACTGTATTGCTGTGTGCAGCTAAGCTTTGTAATGTGGGTATCTGTGAATGTATTGTATCATGCTCTGTAGGTATCTCATGTTAGGATCCTAAAAAGAATTAATATAATCTTCCTACTGGAATACCCAGACAAATTTGTAGATTAAGAGAAACTACTCTCTAACCAAAACATGATGTTTACAGTGTTAACTCTTGAATGTTAACCTTGAAATACGCTTAGAGTTGTTTTAAATGAGAACTTTATACATTCAAAAGTAACTAATGTGGTTAGAAATATCGAGTGAGGTTTCTCTTTATATCATTATTGCACTGCTACCCTTCACCTCTTCAGTTGAGTTTCCTTCTCCCAAACTGCTAGTGTTGAACAGACTTTATATTAGAAATATAAGTAGTGAAGAATGAGTTTAAAAAGGTTTAGTTTCTTGTTTCAGGACAGCTGTGTTTGATTTCAGGTAGCAGTCCTGGGGATGGTACTGCCTGTCCACCTTTAAATCCACCTCCAATTGGTCTAGAAAATGTGGCTGGCTATGCCACTCAGTTCCATCCCAACTACATGGCTGGAATGGTGAGTTTTCTTTCATTTAGTGTACTTTACTGTGACTTCCTTGAGTGCAAGATGTGTTTCTGGCGTTGTCACTGAGAGGTTTATCACTTGAGTTCTGTGCTTTTATGTCTAGTCTGTTTAGGTGTTGAGCATTCAATATCATCTGTTGAAGCAAATGATTGCCGCAAGCTATTCCTTTACTTTAGGAAACGAGACCACTAGTTAAATGTTGATTTAAGAGCCTAACTTCAAAAGTCATGGGTATAAAAGTAATATAACTATTTATAAATATATAAATATAACAGGAATAGGAGAACAGACTATTGACAAGTGTCCATTGTCAATATATTCACGTTGACAAACACAGTCCGAATTTTGCCTATTACCTGGGTTTTGGTCAGTCTTTGTAAGGAGCAAGGCTGTGCAATTTGAGGTATCAGTGTCTCATTCCGGAAAAGAATATGGGATCAGCTGTCTCCTACAAGCACTGCTGTTTAACAGATGGCAGTAAAAACCTTCTACATTGACTGAAGAAAATGCAGACATTTCCCGTGTGACTTTTTTCATAGAGTATAAGTGAGTGACACTTCTGACAACTTAGTCTTCAGAAAGCTGTTATGCTGCATAACAAATGCACAGTTTGTAGGAAGACATTTGCATTACAGATGCCTTTCTGATGCAGATTACATTAAGTGATTTGGCAGCCAGCAGTCAAACTGAGCAACAAATTACCTAGGGTGCGCAGTGCAATATCTGCAGCAACTAGCTTCTGTGGTCACTGCAGTCATCAAATGTCAGTCCGTCTGGTTCCCCTATAGAAGAGGGTCTGAGTATGTCATGGAAGATGGTATTGCATGTGGAGTGGAGTATCTTTGTGGCAGTTTCTGCAGATGTCTTTCCAAACATAGTCCAGGAACTTGCTCATTGTAAACTAACTACTAATGCATCTAGTGCAGCCAGGGATTGCTCGTAGTAAATCCCTGCACTCAGATGATGCTGTGGTCATATAAGGCAGCCATGGACAGAGAAGGGATAAGCAGTTTTGTGTTGCTGGGATTAATCGGTGTAAGTTCTTAGAATAAGGGGTGGTGGCTGTTGGTGCTGTTCTGTGTGAGTGGTATGTCATGCTGGATGTAGTGGCAGGTATGTGACTGTTGGTTCTTCTTCTTTGTGTATGGAAGCCAATGATTACAGTAAAGTGAGAGTCAATGGAACACGTTTTTTTTCACATCTTGTATGCTAGTAAGACATAAATGCAAAGTTTTCTGTGGATTTAGAGCTACCTATCTGTGTTGGAGGAGGTAGGTTGTATTGTATTAAGCCCATTAGTGAATCTCTACTGTTTATATACCTTCCTACCTTTTGCTTTATTTGCTGTCATTGCAGGCATCCAATCTGGCAGGGGCCTTTGGTGGAACATATGTACCACAAGGCGTATATCCTTCAATACCTGGAGGTTATCCCCCAGTCCCTCCAGGTGGCTTTGGGCAACCTCCATCAGGACAACAGCCTGCTTATGGAGGGTATCCTCCACCTGGAGGAAATCCACCATCAGGAATGCCATCTTATCCAGGATACCCAGGTGGCCCTGTGCCAGGCCAGCCCACACCACCACCTATGAACTATCCAGGACAACCACCAGCAACTTACTCAGGGCAGCAGCCCATGCCAAATTATCCACCAGGCCCAGCTGTGAATCCATCTGTGCCCTCTTATGGAGTAAGTACAGTGCCTACAATTCCTCCTGTAACAGTAAGAGCATCAGTGCTGCTGTTTTGAGATGTGATCGTATATGTGTTTCTGCACATTTTCTTTGTGTATATGAATATAAACTGGCTATAAAATTGAAAGAATAAAACCCCCACAACAACAAACCCAAAAACAAAACCCATGAAGTTTGACTAAAGAGATAGGTACTTTCCAAAGGCAAGCAATATAGGCTCAGGATTTGAAATAATTGCTGGTTTACCATATTGTCCAAGAAGAAAGGTTTGATATGAATTCAAATGTAGTGAAATTTGCCTTCCCTAACTTAACAAAGTATTGCCAGTTGTATATACAGTTTCATCAAAACTTAAATTAATTGGACAGCGTATTTGTATCAGTGAATGTTCATGACCTTCCATTTTCTCATAATTTGGAAATAGAAATTCCAGATTGTTTCAGGTAGGGTTTTTTTGAGTTTTCTCTGTTACTTCTCTAACGTGAAGAAAATTGGTTCTAGTGGTCATCTTTACTATGTACTAAAACAGTCTTTAACTGATTAGCATTAATATGCAACTCAACTTGATCTTATTTTAGCATGTAAACCGAGGCACAATCACTGAGGCACCGGGATTTGACCCTCTGAAGGATGCAGAAGTCTTAAGGAAGGCCATGAAAGGATTAGGTGAGCAGTCTAGTCTTTTTTTCATATAAAAGAAGGGTTGCAGCTTTGATTCAGCACTGAGCTTTCTCCATTGTTATGTATGTACTGAGTGGGTTGGTTTACATGCGGTTGTCCTTGGTAATAAGAAGAATTATTCATTTAGGCATAAACAACATCATGAGTTTAGTATTTGGCGTTGGGCTTGGTTTCTTTTTGTATTTGTACTGTGTTTGTGATTGGGAGTAGAGGTTGATGTTCTGTGGTCATAACACAAGAACAGATACTGTAGATGAATTAAAAGCATACATGTCCTTCAGATGGCTTTAGACAGGATAGGGTCAAATGAAAACAAAGAGTTGAGTCCTGACATGACATGCATGCTCATTCTGTGGTGTCTGTGTGTGTGTATAGGAACTGATGAGCAGGCGATTATAGATTGTCTTGGAAGTCGCTCAAACAAGCAACGGCAACAGATCATCCTGTCCTTCAAAACAGCTTATGGAAAGGTAAATTCATCATGAGAACAGAAGGAAGAAGAAATAAGAGCCTTCATTCCTTCATTGGAATTTAGAAGACTTAGCGTTTGGAAAAAAAGATTGAAAGTTGCTTAAGGGAAAGGAGGTTCACAAATCATAGCCTGTTTAGGGTTCTGCTTTTACTTACTCTTGACTTTTTTCATGCAGTGTTTCAAATGAAATACATAAAGCAATTTCTTTGCTAAATGGTTCCTTTGACTCTTTGGTCTGTTCAATCAATTTAATTGGGCCTTAGTTACCTAGATGTACATGTTACCTTATGCTGGGTTTAGTGTTGTTAAGTGGAAAAGCTTTATTTGGAGATACATTATTGATGCTTATACATAAAAAATTCTATTTAAAATGCACAGTTTTGGTCCTTACTGTGTCAGCTTTGGTCTTTATGCAATTTTTTCCCTGTTTTTACTTCTTATTAGGATTTGATCAAGGATCTCAAGTCTGAGCTATCAGGTAACTTTGAGAAGACAATCTTAGCAATGATGAAGACACCTGTCATGCTTGATGCTTATGAAATCAAGGAAGCTATAAAGGTTTGTGTAGGAGATACAAGTTTAGTAGATAGAGGAAATAGTTGAGCTGATAAAATTTTTGGTAGTCATTTAAAAGCTTGGATTTACATCCCCTCCTCTCTGTCCAGATATTGAACCCACTGCTTGTCTGACCTGTACTCCATTTCTTGGAGTTACATGATGGTAAAATTGAGAAATATTATTCCAATAGGTTAAGGATAAAGACTATTTGATATGTTTGTGTTGTAACAAAAATATATTAGTAAATAAATACACACAAAAAAAGAGGCAGAAATTGAGTTCTAACAGTCTCTACAGTTCATTTATTATATAGTCTTGAGTAAGCCACTGAGGCAGCCATCTTCTAAGCCAGCCACTGCATCTTTATTTCTGGGGTTTTGCTTTGAACTGTGATGGAACTGATTATGACAATGCTTAACTTACAGTTGACAGCGACTTCACACTCAGTGCTCAAGAATAGTTCAGTAAACTGTGCTCATAAAGATTTTGGGAAGGGTGTATATTTTTGTACTTATTTTTATCTTTTCCCTCAGCTCAAAAGCGTATTTTCCTAGCCCATGCTGAACCTCTTCTAAAATACTATGGAAGTATCTGAAGGGGGCTTATAAGGATGCTGGGGAGGGACTATTCATCCCCAGGGGATGAGGGATTGTAGTGGTAGGACAAGGGGTAACAGGTTAAAACCTAAAGAGGGGAAGTTTAGATTGCATATAAGGAAGTTCTTTACTGTAAGGGTGGTGAGGCACTGGAATGGGTTGCCCAGGGAAGTTGTGAATCCTCCATACTTGGCGGTGTTCAAGGCCAGGTTGGACAGAGCCTTGGGTGATGTGGTTTAGTGGGAGGTGTCCCTGCCCATGGCAGGGGGGCTGGAACTGGATGATCTTAAGGTCCTTTCCAACCCTAACTATTCTATGATTCTGTGATTGTATACTTCCTCTTTAAAACAGTGAAACTATTTTATATACATTTAGGGGTTTCTAAACATTTAGGATTTTAAAATAAAGATAATGAAACATTTGTATTTCAAGACAATGTTTAAATGAAGGTGAAACGAATATTTAAATTTCTGAGTCAGTACATATATTTACATGTTCTTTGGCCACAATTTTCAAGTAGCTAAGAGGATGAAATAATACTCACTTCATTGTAATTGCAACTGCTATTTATTAGTGAATGAACCCAGGACAACCTATTAGAATTAAAATCACTGATAATGGTAGAAAAAAAATATGATTAAAATGCCTGAAATCTGGGGTGAAGGATGACATTTTAGAATGAAGTTTTGTTTTCATAATTATTTTAATTATCTATTCAATTTGTAACTTTAGTACTTCTCTGTCTTGGAAATATAAGTAACGTTTAAACTACTTGCTTTGACTTCCTGTGTAAAAAGATTATATTTTGAGTTGTATTTTGTTGTTTAATTTTATTCCATTTCTTTTATACTAGGTTGTGGAATTAAGACGGGAATCTGAAGTGTGTTTTTTCCTTATGCTTTCTTTCAGGGCATTGGCACAGATGAAAATTGTCTCATTGAAATCTTAGCTTCTCGCAGTAATGAGCATATTCAGGAACTCAACAGGGTCTACAAAACAGGTTAGATTTATTATAGTTCCATTACAGATTTCTTCCTTTTCTTCTTAATCACTGGCTGTAAACATAAAGTTAGAAAATGAGCAGGGTTGTATGATGATTCGTGACTCTGTGTTTCTTCCAGAATTTAAGAAAACTCTGGAGGAAGCAATAAAAAGTGATACTTCTGGACACTTTCAGAGGCTTTTGGTTTCGCTTTCTCAGGTATTTGCATGCTGGTATTTTGGAGTTTGGGTTTTGTGTGTGTGTTTGCAGATGGCTGTTTTTTTAATAAAAGAAAATAAAAAAAAAGAATAAAAAAAAGCACCCACTAATAACACTTTTGTATCTTCAAATTCTTTCAGGGAAACAGAGATGAAAGTACAAGTGTTGACATGGCTCTTGTCCAAAAAGATGTGCAGGTCAGTAGAAGTTCCTCATCATTTTTAAGTATAGTCAACTCAATACACTGAAATTTGACTGTGTGGTTTCTGCTTATTCCTAGCTTTGGTCACCTTGTGAGTTCTGCTGTACTGCTTATGTTTCATTGGGTGGATGTGATATGAAAGGCCCTGACATAGCAGTAGAGCCATGTAGCTCCATTACAGAGATATGAAGTTCTTGGAAATAGAGTCCATAGAGTTTTTTTTAATCTCTCATTCCGTCAGCTGTCTGCCTTTTCCATGTCTTGGGTGACTCCATTGTGCTGCTTTTTAAAGGAATGGATCAAAGAGTTTTGAGGATTAAAAGAGTTTTGATCAAATTTTAATGTATTCAATATGTGCATTAGCCTTTTTGCTTGCTATTTAAGGAACTCTGGTTTTCTGCAGCAAATAAAGCAATTGGACTCAGTAACCCAGTTAATTTTTTTGCATGTTCCATTTCACCGCATAGCAAAGAGGAAAACCCTGGATTGTTTCAGCACAGTACTGCAACATAAATAGTAATGTGATTAGCTTTCTACATGTTATGCCTTAGAAAGAGATGAGAATGTCCCAGAACACACCTAGAGGAGTAGGGAAAAAGGTAGACATAAGCCCTCTTAGGTTGAACAATTTTCAGATACCTTTTAAACAATTTTCCCTTCCTTAGTAGTCTGGAGCTCTTGTGTTTGAACACCTACATATCAGTAAGCTAGCTAGACTGCAAGCGTAGCATATATTAGGAAGGTTAGAACTAGCTGCTACTTATTAGTTGCTTCTGTTTTCCAGCAGTACATAGACTAAGAATTAAATATAAAAGAAGAAGAAGCTGTAAGGAAGCAGATCTGTAACTCAGCTTTTCAAGTGTTACTGCTTTTCTGAGTAATGAAGTGTGAATTCCCTTCTGTGTTTAGGAGCTATATGCAGCTGGAGAGAACCGTCTAGGAACTGATGAATCCAAATTCAATGCCATTTTGTGTGCAAGAAGCAGGGCCCACCTCAGAGCAGGTAATGGTGTCCCCTACATAAATAGTAACTTGATTCTGTTACATGTGACGATATAAATGTACAACAGTGCTCTGTGTTTGAATTTCCCCCTGTCTGTAAAATGAATGTAATGATACCTCAATGAAAAGCAGGGTAAATTCTGCTGAGGAAAAAAAATACACAAGAGTTGAATGTCTTTCTTAAGTATCAGAGCAGATAGAGGTCATGCTTGTTCAAATGTTTCTCTGATAAAAGAATTGAAAAACTAAGATTGTTTCAATTTTGCATGCTTGTGTGTGCACAAGACACTTGAAATCATTCCCTTCCCCTCTTACTTGCTAGTGACTAGGTGTTACATCGGTCTATGTAGTAGTGCTGGAGATGTTTTAATAACTGTGTAGAAATGTGCTCCATACTGAGGCAGCTATGTAGACAGGAAGGGATGGGGTGTGTGCGAGAACCTGGATGTTTTCTTCTTAATTTTACTGACACCCAGAGCTTTCCTAGAACAGTTTTCACTGTTTGCCTTACAGTGATTTATTGGTCTAGCCCTTTAAAAATGAGGACAGCATCAGACAAGCTAGAAGGAGCACAGCAATGTGTAAATGGAACAGTATGGGTGATAAAACAGTATTAGTCTTTGAGATGTTAAAACTTGAGTGAGTATACTGTAGTATCTAGTTGAGAAGTGTGAGTGAAATGAAGCCATCCAGCATGCACCAGTGCCACCTCTTTTTGAGAGGCTGACTCCTAAAATCTTTCTCTGCCATTAACAGTCTTCAGTGAGTACCAGAGGATGTGTAACCGGGACATCGAGAAAAGCATATGCCGTGAAATGTCTGGAGACCTGGAAAAGGGCATGCTGGCAGTAGGTATGTGTTGTCTTAGCAAGTTCATTCCTGGTATTCCACTACAGCTGGCTTAGATGGTGGCATCTGTGACTCCAGCTAAGGATGTTCTTCTTAGTAATACTTCCAGTTTTCTGCATTTTATTTTGAGCTTTCTATGAAGTCTCCTGGGGTTAGTAAAACAGGGCACTTAATTCCCCTCATAATGACAGATGAAACTTTTGCTTCAGGCAGCTGCAGAATTTAAATTTCATACGTTAAAGTAGGGAAAGGATTATTAACTGTACTTGGCATTGTTTTCAGAAGTGATGAGAGCTTGTACCAACTGCCGAGTCAGTGAGAATGGAATATTTGGGACAGCTTTGGAAATCAAGCAGAATACAGGCATCAACCCTCTAATTATTTACCTCTACCTCTTTTTACTAGAAAGAAAACTTAAATTTGATTGTAAAGAGGTAATTTTTTCCACATTTCTGTTTTGTGGTTAGAGCTTTGTTAAGTGCCTCCAGTACTTTTGAAGAGTAAAGACTCTTAACTCAAGTTTACTATTGTCCTTGGGAAGGTAGTCATTAGTGTCCATGAGGCTGGGACAAGGTCTCAAATTGTGCAGTACTTCTATTTGGAGTGTTTTATTCTGTGTAAAATTGTGGACCTCTTTCTCTCTTCTTTTGTCTCATGTTTCTTAGACAAGACTGCTTCTTTACGTCTCCGTTTATTTTTCTGTTTATTACTGTGAATTTACTGTGGTATCTATTGCTGCTGTTTTAAAAGTGGTGTTCTTTGTTTTTGATTATCGTAGTGACTAGAAAAGTGGTGTAACAAAAACAACAGCAAAACAAACAAACAAAAAAAAGAAACACAAACTGCCCCCCAAAATCCCAAAACATACTTGTGTCATTTGGGAAACAAGATGGGAGAGGACATTTAGCTCAACCACAACAGATATTTTTCATGGAGTTTTGTAACAAAATCTTGCAAAATGGGAATGAATTATAAAAGCCATATTTTTTTCAGTCCTGTCTTGGGCATATGTGAACTATGTAACTATTTTTCTTACTTTGCTTGGCCAGGCTGTCACTATAGTAGCCCTTAAATTAACTAAACTGGGTCCAGCTCTGTTGGTGTGATAGCCTTCAGAACTTGTCACCTCACAAAGTATTGTTAGAAAACAAATCTTAGGAAGAATAAATATTTCCCAGTGTTTGTAGGAAAAGGTTATCCCAGCAAAGAGAATGTGTTGTCACTTTGACTTCATGGAGCTCTGCAGTCATTTTTCAGGTCCCATGTAGATACAGGTTCAGAATTGGGAATGTAGTGTACAAATAAGTCAATAATCTTTTGAGTTATTCCCTGAGCAACTCTTTTATTGAATAGATTTTGGTTTGGTGGTTTTATTTATATGTGTACATGTGTGTATATATATGTATATATATATATGTATACACACACATATATGTATCATTTGATGGTAACATCATTTGTTCTATGAACCTTCTTTTCAGAAAAGAAAAAAAGGTTTTCTAATTGAAAATATTTAATTTTGCTTTCTTTAAAGCTTTCTGGATTGTGCAACTGGTAACTTACAATAACATCTTCGAACATCTTAAAGCGCAAGTGTGTTGTTCTAGCTAAATGCAGTGATAGAGAAACATGCATTTCATTTGTCATTCGTTTTTGAATTGTATTATACATATCATTGAGAATTGTGTGTGGTGAACTGCTACCTCTCATCTACATTTTCCTACTCAGAGAAGTACTTTTTCCTGTCTAAAATACGTGTTTCTGTGAAATACATATTTAGGTTTACCTGTTTGTTTCGTACTGATTTTATGTAATAGCTTATGGTATCTTTTTGTGCTATAAATTATAGGAAAGGTGTGGTTTGTTTTCTGTGTAGTTTGGCACAGATTGCATGATTGTGTGCTTGTAACCAACATAGGATCAATTTATAGATTTTAAATCTGATGAGTGATGGAGGATTCTTTCATTATCCTGATTAACATGGCAGTAATTTGATTTAGATTTTCCTCTTTCAGATTTCTAATGAACTGTTCTAAGTAAGTATAAAATCCAGTCATTACTAAATAAACAGGTTAAGAATTTTTCAGGAGTCCTGGTGAGCTTGGTGGCTAAAAAAAAATAATTGTGATTAGCTTTAAAATAAGGTCAGGTTTCTGTTGTAGGTGGCTTCCCAACTTGTATTAGGGCAGGACTTAATTTTGTCATACGTTGCAGATGCATGGGCTAAAAATTCTTAAATTAGGAAAAAGCCTGGGACACTCCTATTTGTTCCTTCAAGCCATCTGCCCCCTCCCATCCCCTCTTTTCCCTTGATAAGCAAGAATCTGGTCATTATGGCTGGTTCACACTAGATGATTTCTAGTGATGGAAAAGTTTCCTTTGGGCTATGTTGTAGGTCCTTTATTGCAGCTACTGTTTGGATTAAAAATCATTTTGGTGACTAACTGAAGGATTGGAAACTGCATTGTATGGAGTGTATGTTTGTTTAAAATTAAAGCATGTAACTATCTAGGATAATGATTGAGGGGGAATACCTGATTTCTATAATGCTTTTTGTTTTTGCAGTTAAGTGCCTCAAGAACACGCCAGCTTTTTTTGCAGAGAGATTACAGAAAGCAATGAAGGTAGGTCCCTGTGACAGGATACATAAACATACAGTGTGGTGAGGTTTTGGTTTGGTTTTTTGGGGGATTTTATTTGTTGGTTTGTTTGGAAGTTTTAATGCTTGTACAGCTTATTGGAATTAATTGTTCAGCTGAAGCATTTCCACACATTATTAATACCTCATATTGTTGTTTTGTTTGTTTCAGGGAGCAGGAACAAAAGACAGAGCTCTGATTCGAATCATGGTATCACGCAGCGAGGTTGACCTGCTGGACATACGTGCAGAATACAAGCGGATGTATGGCAGATCCCTCTATGCAGACATCACTGTAAGTCTTGGAGATTTTATTTTCCCTCAAGTGACATCCTTTCTGTTAGTAGAACATGCATACTTATGCTGAATAGCTATTAACAGCACTGAGTGTAGCTGGCTATGTTTGCTGTGTTTGTCAGGGGAATGGAAGCTGAAGTGTCAGAGAACAGACAGTGCTTGCTTTTGTGTGGGGGCTAGATGAGCTAGAGATGGGAAGGAAGCCAACAGAGAAGGAAGGAAAGAAAAATTGGTCCAGAGGGGTTTCAGAGACTTGATTTTAAGCTTGGTTTCTGTCGCAATCTGTATATGATCTTGTAGAAACCACTAAGTCCTCCTGATAACAGTGGTGCTCTACCTCATGTATGTGTTGAAAGAGTGTAAAGCTCCTAATACGCTTTTAAAAGATTGCCTGCTCTTTCTCTTGAAAGTGCAAGATCTTGGAAATAGCCTAAACTTCACATTCTTTAGCAATTAGTCAGTCAACCCTATTACTGCTATTGACAGCTGTAGCAGCAGTCAAGAGGATGCCTGGCCAATGGCGAGGGTAATAAAAGCTGCAGTGAGAGTAAGTAGTGCACCTTCATTGACCTTGTAACGAAGGTGACAAATCTGTTAAGTCTCTATTCCTTCTGCTGATGGCACTGGGGCTGCACCAAAAAGTCTTGGTGTGAGTTTTCTGCCAGCAACTATATGGTCTTTCTGCCAGTGTGCCACAGAGGGTCGTCTAGCAGAAGCTTTTTCCAAGTGTACTTCCTTTACTCCTTCACCATCCCGCCCCCTTTTTTTATTATCTTTTGCACTGGCATTAAAATAATTCTACCATTCAGGAACAGGCCATACCCATTTAATGGGCTGAACTTCCTCAGAACTTGGTTTCAGTAAATATGGGCATGCATGGGCAGTTATGTCAATGTATGTAAATTGTAGTTCTTTTTTTTTGTTTTGTTTTTTTATTTTTTTTTCCAACATCCTTGGAGAGAAAGTTTGTTCTTCTTCTCTCATGTGTGTGTGTGTAGGTGGACAACAGTTCTTTCCTTTCAGTGCATATATAAACAGGAGTGTTTCACATTTTGCAGGTTGTACTTTACATGTGCACAGGATTTATCCTGATCTTTGAAGTGTCTCATAGTTCCTGTTGTAATAATTTTGATTTGGATAGTTTTCAGTTATACCTGAGAATGAAGGATGAGATAAATGCATGAGCAGAAACTGTTCTGTGAAAAGGATTGGCAAGCCTCATCAGCCAAAACTAGTAAATGAGTAGCTCCCAGGAACACTTCTTACTCACAAGAGCATCAGGCAAAAACTCAGGGACTTTTGCGATTAATTGCATGTTTGTGTGTGCATCCATACTGATTTTCATTGCCCACAGCATGAAAGAGTTGTTCTCTAATTGTGGGAAAACCCCCAATCTTATATCTTTGATATCAGGGCCTTGTTTTTAAAGTTTGAATATAGTACAGAGGAAACTTTCAGTTGCTGCCTCTGGAAAAATATCCACATTAATGTCAAGGAAAAGGACTTCTGTATTAACTTTTCTGTATTTTCATACCTTTTTTTTTTCCTGGAACACAGCTTTTCAGTGAGTTTTTTTTGGTTTGGTTTGGTTTGGTTTTTTTAAATTGTACTATTCCCAAGTAGTTGAACCTCTATACTGAATTCAGCTTGTTGAAGAAATGTATTTCTATGCACACATTCAGTTCCAGTTGTGAAAGGAGCAGATTTTACTGTGTACTTGTATTGGAGTGGTTTTTGATTAATAGATTTTTTAATTTTGAAGAGGATAATAATTGCTTTCTTTCAGCCCTGGCTTCATCTCTTTTGGTTGTTGATGTTATGTTTAGGATGCTAATGTTTCCTCTACTTCAAAACACAAGTCTTCAACTTTTCTTCTTCTGGGTTCCTTTTCAGGGTGATACTTCAGGAGACTACCGGAAAATCCTTCTCAAGTTGTGTGGTGGAAATGACTAAATGGAGCTTTGAGCTTTTCTTTAAAAAAAGCTGCCATTTTCATGGCTGTACTTTAAAACGTCTTTTTTTCTCTAGAAGTAAATATGCAATTACCTGTTTCTCCTACAGCAATTACATCTTTAAAGATAATATTGCCTATATTTGCAGTTCAAAAATAGTAGGTAATAAATGCCAAGAAAAAAATACATATCAAGCTTATGTGTCATCTGCTCAGGATTCTGTATAGTACTCTCAGCAGTCCTTGAATGACAGGTTGTCATTTCTTTCTTGCTTATATTATGTTGAAATAGTATACTTGTTTTATGGAAAAAAAAGTCACAGTTTTATGATTTAAGCTTTATTTTGTATGAACAGTCATGTCATTTTAATGCACGTTTTATATATATATATATATATATATATATATATATATATATATATATATTGTGTGCAGAGTTGGATTCATGCTTGCCAGCTCCCTGATACGTGGAGAGAACAGCCTTAGGTTTTGTGTCTAGTTAAGACTGTTTTAAAGAAGTTTTGTCAACTCCTTTTTTTCTTTCCTTGATTGTTTTTAAGGAAGATGTGTTCCACATTTCATTCTCACAAGGGCAACTCTCACAAGGCAATAGTAATGTTCACAGTAGTAGAGATTCTATGGTTAATGTTTTCAGGTTTTGGATTGTGCCTTAAATATATGTATGTAAGAAGATATTATGAAATTAAAGCTATCTTCTCTTTGCAGACTATGCTTTTTAGTGTTGATGCTGATTTATCTGTGAGTGATGGCTGAGTGGGACACAGAAGTTTTCTGCTTGAATCCACAGAATTACTCAGGTAGTTGTGTTGACAAGAGCCTGGGACTTGTGTGCTGTGGATGAGCAATTGTCTGTATGTGATATAGGTAATCGGTAGTTTATTGCTCAGTATTTTCATTTTGCATGTTGTAATTTCTCTGACTCTTGTAACTCTGATTTTTTTTAGTTTCTGCTAGCATGGATGACATCTCTTCAACTTCTTGTTCCCAAAATAGAAACATGTAAAGAAAAAAAAGTACAAGGAGGGGGAAGAGATTTGGAGCTATGTCAGTGAAAATGTACATGAGGGTGTCATGGGCACAAATGTTGGAATTAATTCTGAGTGGCATTGTCACTAGAGCAAAAATGTGTAAAGATTACATAGTAAGGTGGCTGTGTGTCCAAATGACACCTTCTGACTAGACCCAATTCTGACTAGGACATGCAGATAGGACTCCTGTTTTGGTCAGTGGCAGCAACGTGACTTATGTCCAAAGCCAGACAACTCCATACACTCATTTTTGTCAGACAGTCTAAGCATATCTTGAGAGGAAATTGCAGCTGAAAGAGTATCTTCATTGGGAAGTTAGCTGCGCTTTAGTCCCAGACCCCACCTGATCTCATTTTCTTACTGAGAATGCTGTATTTGAAATGCAGTTTTGATAAAGTGGGCTGCTGAAAGATTTAAAATATAAAGCTTTGAAATAGTGTCTAAAAGCAAGTACTTGTTTATTATAAAGCACAGACTCACAGAAGGCAAACTACAGCTGGGGATTGTTCATCCATGCTCAAGTTTATCAAAGTGCAACTCTTCATGACAAATACACTGTGACATTCAGCCGTTTCGTCTTTGCAGTGCTCAGCTGGTATCTGTATGGAGAAGAGTTGATGTTAATTATTTTTTGTTACAAGATCAGGATCAATCTTTGTGGGTAAACATTGTTTAAAACATGAATTGGCTACTTTGAAGTGAGGAATTGTCACTTTGATTTACCATTATCACAGAAGGAAGGTCCTATTTGCAATTCTTAAGCCATAGATGTGCTATAAATATGCCTTGGTTAATTTTAGGAATTTCATTTTAAATTTACTGTAACATTTTACTGGAATACTTTTTTAAGTAAATTACCATTGCAGTGGTGTAACTGAATTATTACCTATTAACTGCCCTTCACAGAAGACGAGAAATCTTAATGAATAACAAAATTAGTGAGGACATTTCAGTCATAGTGACCAGATCCATACAGCCAACTGAAAGAAGTAAAAATAAAACATAAACTCTCCTGCTGTCTACTTTGTGCCGGCCTTATATCATGTAAGTTCACTAATGTGCGTATGCATATGTGTATGTACCCATGTACAGCTGTCTTAAACAAATGAAAAACCCAGCACTGATGAAACTGACTTCATAAACATGGCTGTGGGTGGCTGCTTATACTTTTCCACAAGAGGTTGTTTTTCCACCAGGAGTGTCTCTCATGGTGTAAAATGAGCTATTGATAATTGGGCAGAGAATGAAATGGTCAGAGCAGTATAAGAAGCTGTGTAGAATAGGTGGCCTTAACAAAATGATTTCTGTTGTGGTTTAATTTAATTTAATCAAAAAATATTTATCCAGGAACATGTTTTATGTGGTTTTAAGCTATCAAAACAGTAATACTTCCAATATCTTCTTTTGTGTTTTGTTGCCTTCTCTTATTTCATTTGCCATACATGAAACTAGAGAATCACTTTAAAGAATCATCTTAAAATGGAAAGAGATTTTGAGATTGTTTAGTCTGTCCTGCTGTTCTAAGGTATGATGCTTGTTTGACATTTCCGTTGCTGGGAAAACCACAGTCACAGAATCACAGAATGGTTTAGGTTGGAAGTGACCTTAAAGATCATCTCGTTACAACCCTCTACCATGCGCAGGGACACCTTCCACTAGACCAGGTAGCTCAAAGCCCCATCCAAACTGGCCTTGAGGACTTCCAGTGGTGGGGCAGCCACAGTTTCTCCAGGCAAACTGTTCCAGTGCCTCACCACCCTCACAGGGAAGAATTGCTGGGTTGGTATGCTGTCATCCTGTTGTAGAAGGCCACCAAATCTGTCAGCACGGTTTGCTCTTAGTGAAGCCATGTTGGCTGTCACCAATCACCTTACTGTCCATATGCATTAACATAGTATCCAGGAGGATCTGCTCTGTGATCTTGCCAGGCACTGAGGTAAAATTGACATCTGTAGTTCCCTGGGTCTTCCTTTTTTCGCTGTTTAAAAATGGGGGTTATATTTCCCTTTTTCCAGAGAGCAGGAACTTCTCCAGACTGCCATGACTTCTCACATATGATGGATGGTGTCTTAGCCACTTCATCTGCCAGTTCTCTCAGGACCAATGGGTGTATCTCTTCAGGTCCCATGGACTCGTGCACCTTCAGGTTCCTTAGATGTTCTCATACCTGATCATCTCCTACAGTGGGCAGCTCTTCTCCCAGTCTCTGCCTTTGCTTTCTGTGACTTGGGCAGTCTGGCTGGAGCTCTTGCTGGTAAAGATGGAGGCAAAAAAGTTGTTGAGTACCTCAGCCTTTTCCATGTCCCAGGTGACCAGATCTCCCATAACCTTTCAGAGAGGAACCGGATTTACTGTAGTCATATCAGTGATTCACTTTCTTTGTAAGAAAGCTTTGCAGTGTGTTTTGCTTGAGTCTTTCTTGCTGCATTATTTCTTGTTTTACTCCCTTTTGCATTGAGGAAGAAAACACACCATTCATCTTTGTGGCAGCCTTACTTGTTCTGGTGGGTTACTTTAGTACTTTTTAATCTAAACATTCCCAATTTAACAACCTTTCTGTGTAGCTTATGTATCCAGCTCCTTGGCTGGGTGTTTTGTTTGGTGGGATTTTTTTTTTTTCACCTTCCCCTTTCCCCCCTACCTTTAGCAGTTGTTGAAACCTGGTGTTCAAAACTAGACCCAGTATTTCAGCTGGGGCCTTAGCTGCGCTGAGTTCAATGAGGGAATTACTTCACATCTTGGAAGAATAAAAGACGATGTATTTGGCTGTAACATATACAACACTGTTTTCAACTTCAGTTAAATCCCACTAGATACTTACCATCCAAAATGTCTATAAGTGGGGTTCCTGGAGCAATGGGGATGTTTGATGTTGTCTCATTGATGATGTTGAGGAGCGATTTGACTTCTGATTCTAGATGCTCCACTGTTTTTATTACTTTCTAATGAAAACAAGGGAGACATGGGGGAAGGAGATAGTCAAAAGGTCAAGTGGAAGGAGATGAACCACATTTCTTAGCAAAAGTGCAAATCTAAAGTTAACAGCTAATTTTATTTATATTGTTATATAAATATTTCTTGTCATATGACAAGATCTTATATATAAATATATGTATTTATATTTATATTTATAAATATTTATATATTTATAATATATATTATAGAATATATAATATTTATAATATTTATATGTAACTATATAGATATAAATATTTCTTGTCTTATGCTGCCCTCTAGTGGCATGAAGTATTAAAACTTTGTTTCACAAGAGTTAAATTGCAGCCCCTCTGTATAAAGAATCACCCATAATTTCACTTCCTGGGGGGAGCCTTGCATTAACTGGCTTTTTTGGAGAGTTGTAAACTGACATCTGAAAAAACAGTCAGACCTGGAATAGAATAAAATCAAGAAGGGACAGTGCCTAGAAGCAGCATTCCTTCTTTGGTCAAAAGGATGGGGCGGAGCTCTGGTAAGGTCAAGGAGCTAGTGCAATAGCTCGTACCTCTTCAATAATATCTAAGCGTTCGTGGATTGCATCGTGTTCGTTACACCAGCTTCCTCCTCCCAGACTTCCAGGTAACACACTGACAGGGTCTGTAGCAGCTGGAAAAATAGCCACATTTAATGAGCAGGAGGTTCTTAATAGCAGTCCTTACCTTTTGGACTTCTGAAGTGGTATTTTGATTGCTAAACAACGTTGTTTATGAAACCAAATGTAAGAGTCCCAGGTAGTAACTGAATCTCCCAATAACTACACGTATACCCTTGTGCTGTGAGTGTTTCCTTGCCTGTACACATTGTCAGGATCGGTTGGAACAAGGTGTTTTCTCTTGCAGGGGTATTTTTTTTTGTTTGTGTATGTGTTTGTTTCACACAATCTGGTTTTTCCTACCTGTGTAGTGTAAGTTTATAGACTGTAACTCAGTCTCTTCTAAGTGCTGGGAAGATCTGCCTTACTCTTCAGCTTCTTTGAGACTTTCTTCAGAAGCAGCTGGTACTATAAAGCTTTGAAGAGTAAATAAGTTCATCCACTTACACTCCAAATGGATAATAGCTGTTTATTCTGCAGTGTCAGAAACTTGTTCATAACAGTCCGATTTTGCAGTGAGAAGGGAAACAATAAAAATGTGTACAGCTCGT